TTCTTTGCTTTACACACACACAGACACACATACACAACACGCACACATACACAAACAACACACACACACACACACACACACGTGAAAAAGAACCAGAATTGCTGTATTAATATGTATGTAAACAATTGTTTTCCACTTGAGTCTTCGGGGAGTGGGGGTGGGGTGGTCTTACTGTGAAAATGCCAAGCTAGGAAGATTTACTGCCTGATTGAAGATGCAGTATTGGCACGTGTTAGCTGAAGAAAAACTTCAGCCTCAACTATTGGAGAAAGGGGATTGTTTGAAAATTGGGGTCAAAGCGCTCTGGATGATTTCATAGAACATGAATTTTAGTAGGGCGATGTCAATTATAGAGGCCTAACAAACCCAGTGCAGTGTGCATCTTAATTTTACCTGTCCTGCTTGGAAATGAAAGTTACAGAGTGGAGGCAGTCTGAGTCCTACACAGCCAGCCTGTGTGCCAGATTCCAGGACAGCACTTGGGCAAATCCTATGAAGCATGGGGTTTAAGGTGAGAGCCAAACACGGAAAGGAATCGAAGCATGGCTTATTTGTAGGGTTTCTTCACTCTGCATCTCCTTGTTCTCCATAGGTTAAGTATGAGTCTGTTATTTTTTTCTTGGCTGTGGTTATGCTATTCTTAAAAGCATGAAAACATGACAGGGGACAACATCTAAATCCTTCCCCTTCCACCTGGGATGTTTTGACACTTGAAGGCTGTTTCTCCTCCGATTGATTATGTAAGGCGGTCCTCGACACCCATCGGATATGGAGATGGTCTGCATCCTGGTTGTCAGAAATGGTTTTAAAGCAAGGTGCCTGGCACCTAATGCATGGGACAGCAGCAGCTCAGAATTCTGGAAAGTGGGGCATGCTTGCGAAGGCACGTTATGGAGGTTGTAATTGGCCTTTGAATCAACCACTGGGTGAAATTTAAATATTAGAGGAAGCCTCAAGGTGGCTTCCAGCCTCCTTCCACTCAGAACTGTAACCCAGTCAGAAGCTATTTGAGATTATCTTGGAAAATGTGTCTCTCCTTAGCACCTTTGCTCAGAAATAAAATTCATCATTAGAAATAAAGGTAGATTTATATTTAATACCACCCATCAATCACTCGGTATATCACTCTAGTCCACTCCTTTTAAGCCATTGAATCAGAAACACTTGACCCCCCCTCTCTCCCACCCAGTGAGAAAGATAGGTTTAATATTGCAAGCCTTCCCAGCAAAGGTTCACTGTAACTGGATGCAGTTAAAAAACAACAACAAAGCACATTGACAACTTTTCTGCCTTTGATTAAACCACACCAAGAGGCAAGCTACAAAGGTAACAATGCAGCATTATGCCAATTATCTTAAATCCTGCTCTCCCTTAAGCTCACCGTGACCTGTTTTAGTGTCCTGTAACTTACCCTTTGGAAAGCTCTCAATCAATTAACAGTCCAACTTAAAGGAACCCACCCTGCCCCCAATGACTGACTAACAGAAAACAAGTTATTTCTTAACTTTTTATTGACATTGGCAAATTAAAATAGAATAAATTAACAAGTATTTTTTCAAAAAAATGTTTTGTACAAAAATACTGTCAAAATTTCCTAAAAAGCTTTCAACACAGTAGTATCTTTTCATGTACTGAATATAACTATTAGCACAGTGTCAAAAATGTTGAAGACAGAAACAAAATAAAAATCTGTGAAATGTTTGCCACTGACGACATTCCACACCCTATTATTGTCTGTACATATGGGGGAGGGGAGACAGCCAACTTTAAAGTGAACAGTATGACTTCCTGATCCAGAACGGTTTGGCCCTCATCTGTTTAATCTTCCAGTTTAGCATATTTGAAAACTTAGTCTGTACTCAAATGCATAGTTAAAAAAAATGAAGCGAGATGGCAGTTTGTGCAGTAATATCTGCCCTTCAGAGTTCATGCAGCCAACAAATGCAATTTTTCCTTTCAATCATAAATCTGAATGCAGCGCAGTCATTTGAAACCATCTACAAAATCCACAAGATTAAGCAGTTTGCCAAGATTAATATCTAACAGTTGAGCACTGGAGAAAGTGAGGAAATTAGGAGTAAAAACAACAAAAAAAGACCAAGTTAGCTAGATATTTTAACTACATAAGGGAGGTGAATGTCAAGGCTACAAAAACAAGAACAGGAAAAAAGTGGCAGCAATCTTTTTTTTTTTTTAAACCAATTTGTACAAGTTTATAGTTTACTTTGTTTCCAGGTTCTCAAACCTTTCAGGATCTGAAAAGTGAGATACTGCGTCTAAGGGAATGTTTTTTTTTTTTTGTTTTGTTTTTGTTTTTTTAATTCACACCGAAGAAGTTGGGGTGGGGGTGGGGAGGGTGATTTCTTTCGCCCGCCCGCCGAGGTTAACCGAGTCAACAGCTGACTCTGCTGGGCTGCTGTTTGCACACGAAGTCCGTCATAAAATCAAACTCGTTTTGGCCCAGCCAGAGTTCGGGCAGCTCCTTGATGCGGTCCAAACCCATTTCTATCACTAAGGACATAAGCACTTCCTCATCGATGAAATCAGTGTCTATGACATTGGGCG